GTGGGGCGCTATTTGGTGGGGGGGCGCTGTCAATACTCAGAGAGGCGGGCACAACTGGAGAGGGGAAAGGCTCAACCATTGGATGGCTGCGCAAACCATTGGATGGTGGGACCCAGGGAAGCGAGCTGTGGCCTGACCCAATTGAGCCCCGGAGGAGCTGGGCAGAACTGAACTGGGCAGGATGGGGCTTGGTTGCAGGCAGGAGATGAGCGCATGGCAGGCTTGAGCCCACGTTGGGGTGTGTTGTTTTGAAAGTGGGAGGAGTGGGGCTGAGCCTAGACAGGATAGGGCTGAAACAGGAGCAGATGGGAGGTCTATTGGGGTTGCTGAACAGGAGGGGCAGTGTGGAATGTGGAGCCCAGGGGAACCAGTGGTGAGATGGAGAACACTGAGTTGGGGGTGCAGGTCAAACTGTTGCAAGTACAAGAGGCAGGGTGGGTGTGTGGGTGGGGATGGGGTGGGGGAGGCTGGGAACTAAGAGATTTCAGAAGGAGCGAGACTGAACCAGAATGGCAGCAAGGGACCTTGAGTTATCAAGGTCCGTGTGGTTCTAGGGCCCTAGCATTAGAATTACTCCAGGACAAAAATTCAAGTTCAGGAGGAGCTGGGGGCCAGGGCAGGTGGAGAAAGACCGATCAGGAAGTAGACTTGCCCATCCCTGCCACTTCCAGGCACTGTCCTTGCAGTGGGTTGAAGGGCAATCCCTTCCTCAGCCCTCTCACAGACCTGCCCAATCATCTCTGCATCCACCAGCCTCTCTCCTCTGCTCCCTCCTGACTCCTCCCTCTATTCCTTCAGCCTCAGCATCTCACCTTTCTGAGTGGGCTGCCGCTGCTGCAGGAGAGGGAGCCGTCGCTAGGGGCCAACACTACCTGTGGAGCCAGGATCTCCCTTTCGGCCAGCAGTCGGTGGCTGGTGGCAGCATTCTGGGTCTTGTCCAGTAGCACGAGGTGGCGGCCTCGCACAGTCAGACCTTTCCTGTTTGGGTCCATCTCCATCAGGGGCTCCTTCAAACCCTTTTTATCATCTGTGGACAATCTGCGGTGCACCTGGCAGATGGTTAAGCAGAGAAAGGATGGGAGTCTTAGAGAGGAGGTGACAAGAAAGGAGGAAGTTTGGTGGACATTCCTGAATGGAGCATTAGCTAGGGGTTCGGGGGACCAGGAGGTCACTCCCTCTCAGGGGATTGAGAGTACAAATTGGGTAGAAGACTCAAGTACTCCGTCAACACAAGAACTCTTTGTTCTAATAATCCTGCACGCTGAGATGCTCACCTTCCCGACACTGAAGACAAAATGGGTGCATAAGCAAATGTGGCGAAGAAAGCTGATGGTGCCCGGCTATCAAAAGATATAGTGTCTGGGGTCTTAAAGGCTTGAAGATAAACAAGCGACCATCTAGCTGAGAAACAACAAAGCCCACATAGTGGAAGCACACCAGCTTGTGTGATCATGAGGTGTCCATGGGATCAGGTATCAGGTATCAACGACTGAGAGCAAAAAATCATCATGTGAATAGGGGGTGGGGGCGGCAGTGTGGAGTGGAGGCCCAAAGCCAATCTGTAAACAACTGAACATCCCCTTACAGAAGTGTTGTGGGGGAGAAGATGGGCCATTCAGGGTACAGGGTAGCACTGATGCAACATAAAACATTCCCCTGGTTCTTTAATGTTTCTTTCCCCCCACTATCATAACCCTAATTCTACCTTACAAATCTGGCTAGACCACAGCATGTACATGGGTACAGATAAGAGCTGGAAATACAGAAAATACAGCACAGATAAACTCCTTGGGGCCAATATTGAGAGTAGCCATACCAGGAAAGTAAGAGGAAGGTGGGGGAAGAAAGGGGGAACTGATCCCAATGACCTATCTATCTATAAGCCCCTCCCAACGGGTGGACAACAGACAAGGGGGTAAAGGGAGACATTGGACAGTGCAAGGCATGAAAAAATAATATTTATAAATTATCAAGGGTTCATGAAGGAAGGAGGGAGAGGGAGGGGGTGAATGAGGAGCTGATACCAAGGGCTCAAGTAGAAAGAAAATGATTTGAAAATGATGTTGGCGACATATGTACAAATGTACTTGAGACAATAGATGTATGTATAGATTGTGATAAGAATTTTATGAGCCCCCAATAAAATGATTTTTTATAGAAAGACAATAAATAAATAAAATATCAAAGTGGCTGTTAAAAAAGATGAGTCAACCTATATACCAAAAGAAATGATGGCAGCAGAGTCAAGTTTTGTAATAAAACACTGATATTTAGCCCTTCTCGGGATATATTTTGCATGAAGAACTTGTAGGCCACGAACCTTTTTGAAAATCCAGGAACACAATATCATTCATAGACTCCTTTCCAGAGAGTAATGGGTAGTGCTTCTTGGGCAAATATAAATTTGAAAGGATGAATATTGACTGCAAAAATCATTTCACCCACATGTTCACCTGTATGGACTCTCCTTAATCTGCCAGCAGATGATCATTTAATCATCTTGTATACAAAAATTTAAGAAAATATTTTCTTTTTCTTATAAGGAAACTTATGTAACTACTTAGAACTTGTTCTCTTTGGGATCTTGATGTGGAATTAACTTATATTGTTTGCATAAAGGTTACCTCTTTTTACAATGCAAAAAAAGAATTGGGTAGAGGGACCAAGAAGATGTAGGATGAGGGAAGGGACAGGACCTAAGGTGGGGGCCTGGGCAGACAAGAGTCCTGGACAGGATGTGGGCAAGGAATTGACGGAGTGACCTAGAGAAAGGAATGAGGAAGAATTGGCCCATAAACAAACAAATGATCAAGGACCAGTGGGGGATCACCAGTTAGTTAGAACAACCTGAGTAGAAAGAGTAAGTGTGGGGGTGACGTAATGTGAACGGAAACTTGTTTGAGGGCAGGTGGGGGTTCTTGAAAAAGCCTGGTGGGAAGATCCTGGCCTGGGACTCGGGTCCACTCACCATGAGCTCCAACGATCCATCCTTCAGGCTACTGCCTCCCTGGGAGCGGTCAGTCAGCACTGTCAGCTGCATGTTCCCGTCCTGGGGAGAGGGTGTCTCGGTGAGAAGCATTCCTACATGCCTGCCCTACCCGCATGAAGGACACAGAGGTGGCGGGCACGAGCACACAGACTTGAGGATGAGATGCACTGTGGAGGTCAGGCTGGGGGTCTGAAGGTACCGTGATGTAAATGCGGCTGTTGACTGGGTAGTAGTTTCCTGCCACTGGATCAGTCTGGTTCAGGTCCCAGGTGGGCCGGTAATCCCTCCTACAGTCAGGAGGAGGAAGTCTGCCAGGGCTGGTGATCGAACGCCCTAATTCCTCATCTCTTCCTCCAACACCCCCGTGACACTCACACACTCCCCTATCACTCTGTAGACTCAGGCAGGCCAAAGATGTCCCTCTGCCTTTTAGGTCTCCCTGTATATCCGCACCTCCTCTCCACGATCTCCCGGCCATTGCTGTCCGTGTAGAAACGTCCACCTGTCTTCAGCACTGTGTCAAAGCGACTGATGATTTCTTTTCCAAAGTGATTTATGTTCCTGATTGGATAGCAGGAAGTTTAACTCCACTCAAGGGCCACATTCCTTTGCCTTCCTTATCACCAGCCATTGCCCACTTACATTGGTATTGGTCCCACTGTCCACTCCAGCTCCAAGTGCCTCTGTCCTGGGTACAGACGAACCACTTGGTAGCACCATTCTGAGAACTTCTGGTGCACCTCCTGCACCAAGGCTGTCTGTTGGCATGGGGGACACGTGGGGACTCTGGCAAGCCATAGCCCGAGCAGTGCAGAGCCCTACAACATTCTACCGTCACCGTAAACTCTACACCCCTGTAAACTGTGCTGTAAGACCCTCACCATAAGCCCCCTATGCTGTTCCCCCATATCTTTCTGTGCTATATTTTCTTCAATGACCCCAATTATCTCAGTTTCCATTGCCTGTGGAGTTGCTCTGCTTTTTCAAAGTTCTAAAAGACATCAAATAAATGCACATGTATTTTTAAGGTACACAACTCCTAAAATTTTGAGATTTTAATGATATGTGTGTGTATACATATATACATTTGAAGTTAACAATTCAATGGTTTTGGTAATCAATATATTCAACAGACTCAATAGCTACTTCCTAATTCTTGAGAGCCCAGTCCCACCCTTTTCTCAACCACAACTGGTCTCCATTATTATAACTTTTCCCCTAAAATTCAGATATGTGTGTTAGACTCCTACTCATCAGTTTGTCATACTGTTGTGGCTTCTGTATTGCAATGCTAGAAGTGATGTTAATGGCATTTCAGATATCAAACCTCCATGGTGAACAGATTTCACCAGAGCTTCCAGATTAAGAAGAGGTGGGGCAAATGAAGAGGTGGTCCATTTTGAGAGATAAGCCACTGATAGCCTTATGAACCAGGGGACCTGGATGTGAGCTGGGCTGCTAACTTCAATTCCAGCCATTCAAACCCAGCAGCCGCTCCACTAGAGATGGACGAGGCTTTCTTCCCCTGTAAAGATTTATAGCCTTGAAAAAGAACCAGGGCATTTCTGCATATTCTAGAGTGTCAAGATGAGTTTGAACCAATTTGATGGCATGAGATATTTTTGAGTAATCTTATGCATAGGCGCTAATCATTGTTTGATATAGAGCCAGCAGATGAGCCCCTCGGGTTGGAAGGAATGCAAAATATGACTGACAATCATATAATTGACTATGCTGGCCATGTCATCACATTCATGACCATAAAGAACATTTTAAGATCAATCTTAAGGTACAATGTTGTATGCAATAGGATAATATCTGTGCAATTTCAAGGAAGACCAGTTAATACAACTACTGTTTAAATTCACACATCAACTATTTAGGTCAATGATTAAGAAATCAAAGAATTATACTAACTTCTCTAGTCTGAAATGGACAAAACATGCAATCAGATGCAGTGTCAATTATTGGTCATTGGAATGCAAAAGTTGGAAACAAACAGGAAGGATTATTAGTTGGAAAAGAAGGCCTTGGTAATAGAAATAAAGCTGGAAATCACAGGATCAAATTTTGTAAGAGCAGCAAATTCACTACAAGTTACAATTTCTCAATAATATAAAGTGACTACACACTATGCCATAGTATTTTCAGTCCTCATGTGCATATGAAATCGGGGCAATGAATAAGGAAGACAGAGGAAAAATCAATGCATTTGAATCATAGTGCTGGAGAAGAATGCTGGAAGTACCATGGACTGTCAGAAAAGTAAACAAATCTTTCATGGATGAAGTATAACCATGATGCTCCTTGGAAATGAGAATGGCAGTACTTCATATCAAGTACTTTGGACATGTTTCTGGAGAGACCAGTCCCTGGAGAAGGACATCATGCTTGGCTAAGTGGAGGGAGAGCAAAAGAGAAGAGGACTCTCAAGGAGATGGAATTGACACCATGGTTGCAACAGTGGTTGCATAAGGACAATTGTCAGGATGGCGCAGGGCACGGCAGTGGTCCATACTGTTGTGCATGGGGTTGCTATGTGTTGGAACTGACTTGACAGTACCGAACGGCAGCAACAATCACAGCATACATGTAGACCTTACTAAACGGAATACACATGAATCAAATGGACTATACTTGGGAAAAGATGATGAAGCAGCTTAATGTCCCTAGTCAAACCAGGCTCATTGCAGAACAGACCATTAATTGCCTAGATGCAAGTTCAGATTGACACTAAAGAAAATTTAAATAAGTGCACAAGAGCCCAAATCTGGCTGTAAGTGTATCCCACAGGGACTTAGAGGCCACTTCCACAATACATGTGATTCAGTGAACACTAGAGAGCTGAGACGGCATCAAGAACATCAAACCTAAAGAAAAACAGCGTAGAGGAGGAGAATTTAAGTTCCTATTAAATGGATTAGGGTTAGAAACTGCCTTGTGTGTATTTTATGTCCCTATCAGATTAGAAAGTAAGTGACATACAGTTTTTATTTTGAAAAAGAAATCAAAATATTCACTGAGTCAGGAATCAAAACTACACCCGGTTTTCAGAAGGCTATGGAAGACAGTGGAATAAGACTAGCGAATTCACTCTTCCTGTGGTCCAGGGATGTGAATAGCCTTACTGTCAGACAGAGAGCCTGGTAAGGTCAATGATGGCAGATGTAACATATGTAGGTTAAAATATAACACCTTAAAACATATAACACCTTATTTGATTTCCGTTTTGACCCATTCTATAGTTGTTTCAGTTTTTAACGTTTTCTGGTTTCCTTTTGATTTAGGCTTTTCTTTGTTTTATTTGTCATTTTGTTTGTCTCTTGTTTTTGTTTTGTATGATTTTATGTAAATGAAATCCAGTCTAGATAGATCTGTAGAGACAGTAACTGGATTAATAATTACCGGAGGCCATGGTAGGGGAGGTTAGGAGGAAATGGGGAGCTAACAACAATTCATATGAGAAAGAAGAAAATGTTTTGCAATTGATTGTGGTGATGATTACACGGATCTTCTTAATTAGATTAATGAAAGGTGAGATAGTTTATTGTGCCAGCCTGGCCGATAAACACAAGTGGGATTAACTGAAGGGCAGAGAGATAAATGGCTCGGTGAGCCTCACCTTTCTTGTCTCTTGCT